ATATTCAAGCTATAGGTGATTTTGTTATGTTTACTTCTTTGCTCGTTCTTTCTTCGCAGATTATGAGCAGTCGGCCTAGAATGGATCTATTTATTAACATGCCAGCTCTTTGCAAACTTGACAATATGCTACTCGTAAGATTAAATAAAGTTTTTTCCATTATTATTTTTCGATTTACTTATTGGTGTGAATGAATTTATTAATCTTCTATCCCATGGTTTATGTTTTATTAGGAGATACTAGATGGATTTAGCGAGTGCGAATATTGGTATGTGGATGAAGGCATATTAGGTTCAAATCCATGTGTACCGCCCGGCGGTCTTTCTGAAGGCACGAGAAAGCAATTAAGTGAGAAGCTAGAATGTGGTAGTCAGATCCTTAAAGCTGCCTCAGCCATTAATGCCGCAACTTTGGCTGAGATGGAAGTTCCAGATTCGTACATGGAATCTCTCCCCAAGGTGTGATTTATTGTCCTTTAAGGCAAAATTGTATTTTTAGTCCTACTAGTTTAATGCCATAACATTTTTAATCTCAAGATTTCAACTTTTCGCCTTTTGATCCTTTAACTTAGTATTTGCTGCAATTTCAGTCCTTTTGGGACTGAAAGTGCAATAACATTTAAACTACAGGACTTAAATTACAGTTTTTTTAGAATCTCTCCCCAAGGTGTGATTTAATTTAATTTATTTTTATTTAGAAAGTTTTGTTTGTTGATATAACATCATTCATTATAAGGTACTTACTTTTTTGATTCAGAATGGAAAAGGATGCCTGGGGGATGTCTTGTACCGTTACATAAGTAGTTGTGAGCATTTGTCCCCCGAATGCTTGGTTGAGAGTGTTGGAGATGAAGGTTGTTTAGAGATGGCGAATCGGGTTGAGGCGGCAATCCATGTTTGGAGGCGGCAACGTGTGTCGTCATGGGAGATGAGGAGAGGTTTGTTGGTGGAGAGGGCCGAGAACCTCCTGCTTTCATTGAGATTGCGTTTTCCAACTCTTATGCAAACAACTTTGGATGCAACCAAGATACAATGCAACAAGGTAGGTACTTTGTATCTTGTCTTGTGGGTCACATACTTTTTCATTCAAATCTTATTATTATTTAAAGAGATATGTTGTAGGTACATAATATTGTACATATGGGTGTAATAACACTCATATTAAGTGGGGCCGATCAAAAATAAAAAACCAAGTGGACTCCACTCCATGTGAGTGTTATGTACACCTCTATGTACTTATAGCATTTCTCTTATTTAAATCCCCAATTAATGTAAAAATAAAAATAGGATGTTGGCAAGTCTATTCTGGAAAGCTACTCAAGGGTGTTGGAGAGTTTGGCATTCAACATCGTGTCGCGAATAGAGGATCTACTTTATGTGGACGACGTAAACAAGACGTCTGACAAAAACATCAGCTTAGGTTCTTCCAAGAAGGTCATTAGAGGCCCGTTCCTAGTGTCATGGCCTCCAGCTAGAGTTAGAGGAGACCAAATGTCGGTTTTGAGCAGAAGCAGCAACACTAACGCTAATCGTGGCTTACGTGTTATCACCAACTATGTGAAGGTAGACGATGATGGATTCATTGCCGAGGAAAGGAAGTCGTCACAACCAAACATGGATGTCAAGGAATCCTCTTCTGCCAACAAACAACAACTAGACAAATTTTACATGTATTCTTCACTTAGATAAGCTGCTTAGTCTTCTACTTTTATAGTTTTCATGTGTTTGCTTTGTCGTGAAACAAATGGTGAAATAACTGTTTCACATAATGGATAGTGTAATAACTAGTTGCTTCGCTTGTGTCATCTTCTCAAAATGAATTGGACCATGTTTAATATTTGTTTTTGGAATTTTGTGTGTGCAATTGATTTTTAAAAATGTTTATTATAAAAAACATTTACATTGCTTCTTGTTGTTTTGTTTTAAAATAATTGATTTTGAGAGAAAATTACCCCCCTCACCACATGTATTTTAATTCTAGACAAAATTGCTACCGCAATGTTTTTGGTACATTTTAACAAAAATGAATCACTATTATGCAATTATTTTTATTTACAAATATTAATGTCTTATCAAGTCAAAACCTTTCTTATTTATGGTATAATGATAAAATTAAGTTAAGGGGATATTATGTCCGGATTTCTTTCGACTTCCCATCATTCAAGTCTTCCCACGCACTTCAACCATCTTTCTCCTCCATAACACACATTTCATCAGTCGTGGAGGAGGTTGCCGCAGCCCTTGCCGACGAAGACAGACGGGGGGTATAAGCACCCTCTACTTATTTTTAGGAAAACACTGATTTTCCAGAATAATTTTGAATTGTTTTGAAAACAATTTTACTTTTAAAAAGCTCTTCTTAAGGTACTTACTTAAAACTCTTTCTTATCTTTTCTTTTCTTTAAAAATCTAACCTAAGTCTCACAGTTAGGTTCTTTTAGGAAATCACTTCTCAAACTTATCACTTGCATCTCAATAGTCAAGACATAAATAAAAACGTTCAATCAATTAGTCTCGATCAACTTAAATAAAACTCGGTCTCAAACATGAAAAAATTGAAACATGTAAAGAGTTCAAAAACTGTCTGGGGAAGCATAAATAATTAATAACATAAAATCAACCACCATCGTTGCTAGGATATATGAGGATCTCATTATGTACAAGTTACGGATCTAAAGGTTTGACGTAGAAAACTTACGGTTTAAAAATTTCTGAATCTGACGGGATAGATCAGATGGGATGACCGGGAGTAGCACGTTGGAGTTGTTGGGATCACGAACGGAGGCGGGATCAGCGGCTGGGGCTCGCGGTGGTCGCAGGTGGAACGCGGTAGTTGGCTGGGTTGCGTGGGGATGTCGCGGGCTGCGTCGTCGGGCTCGGCTGTTCATGGCGGTGGTCCGGCTGGTCGTGGCTCATCGACGACGGTCCAGAAGGTTACGGTTGAATATATATTTGATCACGGGGTTTCAGTTACCACGGGATCTTCTACTGTATTACTCAAACACCTCTTCAACTCGTACCGGTGGGGCAACGAGAAGAAGATAAAACTCAACTGGAATTCTAAAGAGAGAAGAGAGGGGCGTGCGTGTATAATACCACGTAGGAGAAATCTGATCTCTTTTATTCCTATTCCATGAGCTTAATGATGTACATATAGAGCTACAGTAGGGATCCTTAGGAGAATTGGATTAGTGCTTCTTAAGTATTGGACTAACTGTGAGCCAGGCCCACTCCTCTAATTACTAAAATAATATTACGGTCCACTAACGTAATTTATTGCACTCCATTTTTCTATCCCAAATTACATTTGAAACTCCAATAAGAATTACTCGTATTACCTCCCCATGTTTAAGATATAATGTCCATTGATTAATTCGATTACTGCCAATCAAGAATTAATTAATATATTATATTGCCAAAGCTGGCGCTCGTTCATTGCATTATTATTATGCCGTAATTAAATCCACCTGCTGGGTTTAGCATAACAATCCTTCATGAACTCACTTCGGGGACATAATCAAACTAACGCATATGGTGACCGTAAATATCCTAACAACACATCATACATACAACAATATTACCCAAGACAGTAAGACTATTGATCCAGTGAACTGAACCTCACTTAAGCGAATCAAAGTAATAAGTACTGCATCTATATGTCTGTTTAATATCTTATGGGCTAAGAGAATGCAGTAACCAACCGAGGCCTAGTTCGTTTATGATGATCAGTATAAAACGAACTTCTCCTCTCTGGGATCCGTTCAATACATAAATGTACTAGTGCAACTAATCAGTTAATACCAAATGTACCGTTGACACTACAACCGTTCTGATGGGGTGTTCATTTCCATCTAGGTTGTGGACCAATAATTCTTGTTTCGCAATTGACTGATAAATCGATCTTCTGTTCACTCGCTAATGAACCGTTTTATCTAAGTGCAAAACATCAAAACATAGAACTTGTTTAATCGAACATGATTCTCATTCATAAAGTGCAAAAGTGTAATATTATCCAAAGCAAAGCTTTCAGTATATAACACCAACAATCTCCCACTTATACTTAATGCTTTTGCTTTTACAAGTATAGTCCTATCAATCCGTTATTCTAAAAGACCTATGTCGATCCTATTGTCATACACCTCACTCTCATTCCTTCCACGTGTTTGACAAAGACATTCCCTGGCAAACTCTTCGTGAAAGGATGAGCTAGGTTGTCCTCTGATGCAATCTTGGCAACATCAACGTCTCCTCTACCTACGATATCTCGTATCAGATGGTACTTGCGCTCTATGTGTTTGCTTGCTCTGTGGGCTCGTTGTTCCCTTGAGTTTACTACTGCTTCACTGTTATCACAGTACACGGTGATACTATGTGGCAAACTCGAAACCACCTCTAAGTCCACTAAGAAGTTCCTGAGCCAAACTGCCTCTTTCGCTGCCTCTGAGGCTGCTATGTACTCGGCTTCCATAGTGGAGCCTGCTACGCAATTCTGCTTAGCACTCCTCCATGAAAATGCTCCACCTCGCAAGGTAAACACATAACCTGAGGTTGACTTACTCTCATCTCTGTCTGACGGAAAATCGAAATTACTATAATCCAACGGTAAAAAGCTGTCTACATGGTAAACTAACATGTACTCCTTAGTCCTATTCAGGTACTTGAGTATATGTTTCACCGCAGTCCAATGTTCCCGTCCCAGATTACTTTGATATCTAGCTACCTGCCAACGACGTATCTAATATCTGGCCTCGCACACAACATAACATACATAAGACTTCCTATTGTCGATGCATAAGGAACTGTCTTCACGTCTTCTATCTCTTGAGGTGTCTTAGGAGACATCTCCTTGGATAGACCTATTCCATGGCTGAAAGGTAACATACCTTTCTTGGAATCCTGCATGTTGAATCTAGCCAAGACAGTATCTACGTATGTAGACTGGGATAAGCACAACATTCCCTTCTTACGGTCTCGAATGACCCTAATACCAATAATGTGTCCTACTTCACCTAAGTCTTTCATATCAAACTGCTTAGACAACCACACCTTTACGTTTGATAACTCCTTCTTACTGTTTCCAATAAGAAGTATGTCGTCTATGTAAAGCACAAGAAACACCATCACGCCTCCACTGATCTTCTTGTACACACAGTGCTCATTTGACATGAGTGAACCCGTACGACTGGATCATCAATCTGGATATTCCAAGATCTCGAAGCTTGCTTCAGTCCATAAATAAACCGATTAAGCTGACACACCAGATGCTCATGTCCCTTAGCAATGAATCCCTCTAGTTGTTGCATATAGATGTCCTCTTGAAGGTTTCCGTTAAGGAAAGCCGTCTAGACATCCATCTACCAGACCTCATAATATATATGAGCGGCTACAACCAAAAGAATCTGAACGGATTTAAGCATAGCTACTGGCGAAACAATCTCATCATAATCAATACCCTCTTTCTGGGTATAGCCTTTCGCAACAAACCTAGCTTTGAAGGTCTCAACCTTCCCATCCGATCCTCTTTTTATCTTATAGACCGCTTGCATCCAACGAGTCGTACCCCATCGAGTGGTTCTACAAGATCCCAGACCTGATTGGAGTCCATTGACCCCATCTCAACTTTTATTCCAACATTTCATGAATCTGTATCTTTATCTTGGAGTGCCTCGTCATAGTTCCTTGGGTCCGATTCTAGGTCTCCTAGAACTGAGTCCGATGACTCTCCAAGACCTATTCATCAGTCGGGTTGCATAGAAACCCTCCCACTACGACGAGGTATTGTCTACGTTTGTACACTCCTAGTGTGCCGTGTTGCAGTATTATGTGATGTATCTATTCGCGCACTCGGTGGAAAACTGTCGACCTCACTCCTTAACTCCTCTAAGACAAGTCTACCCGCTGGCTTGTGGTTCATAATATAGTCTTCTTCCAAGAATCTAGTGTTCGTACTAACCATCACTTTCTAATCCTCGGGGCTATAAAACAATTCATCTTTTGTTTCCTTGGGATAGCCAATGAACACTCTTGCTTTCAAACGCTTCTCCAACGTGCCAGCCTCCTGCACCAAAATGTGTGGAGGGGTACCCCACACTCGAATATGTGAAAACCCGGGCTTGCGCCCTTTCCACAATTCGTAAAGAGTAGTCTCTACTGACTTCGATGGAACTAAGTTCAAAATATACGATACTGTTTCCAGCGCTATTCCCCAAAACGAATTTGGTAACCTTGAATAACTCATCATTGACCTAACCATCTCCATAAGAGTCCTATTTCTTCACTATGCAACCCCGTTCTGCTGGGGTGTGCCGGGTGCAGTCAGTTAGGATTCAATCCCAGCTTCTGATAAGTATGTCCTGATCTCTCCAAAGAGGTACTCGCCGCTTCAATCAGATCGAAGCGACTTGATGCTCTTACCATGATACTTCTCCACAACTGCCCGATACTCCTTGAATTTCTCAAAGCATTCGGACTTGCGGTGAATCAGGTAGACGTACCCATATCTCGAGTAATCATCAATGAATGTGAAAAAATACCCATAACCATGTAACGCCCTATTTTATTTTAAAGATTTTACCGAGTTTATTTATAAAAATTAGAGTTAATTTTTCGCAAAATCTCAATTTTAAACTTTAATAATCAACGGGCGCTACTTAACTACCGGAAACAATTAAACACATACGAACAAATAGGTAGAACCTACACATGCATAAACTAACAGGTATAAAAAAAATCAAACCAACTTATTCATAAGTCACAAGACCAACCAGATAGTTCAACATGGTTCAACGGTTCATCCAACATGTTCATAAAATCAAAGCGGAAGCATAATCATCCAAAATAAAAACAAGTGATTCAA